TTTCTCAGCACAGGAGGAACAAGGAAAAAAAAGTTTGCGTGACAAGTTATGTAACAGGTTGCCACGGCATTTGCACCTGCGTCGCGTCGGATATTAACACGCTCCTTGGCACACATCCAATTTGACGCTTTACTGACTTGTGCGATCGAAATTTTGGTGAGTTAAAGTTGGTTTACTGGCTCAAGAAGACTCAACGGCAAGACTGCCACATGGAGGGGGCAAAAGTGAACAGTGAACTATCAGCAGATGAAGCCACGGCCAGGCGTGATATCCGTCGCCGCAATAGGTGAGAAGACTCGAATCGTAAATCCGCGTCAAGTACGTGTCGTCATCATGCTAAAACAGAAGTAGTTCGGTCAGACACTTCTGTAAATAACAAGTTTTTGAATGGCTGAACCTTAGTCGACAAACTGGTAATGAAAATATCTTCATCGTAAGCTGATTTTTTCATGCATTAGTTTCGATAAGTTTGATTGTTCCACATTAAGGGTAATCACCTTACGTGCCTTCAAAAATCGCTCACAAATGTTTCCGCACTAATGTAACAAGTGTTCTGTATGGCGAATCTGTAACTTAACATAAATCAAAAGCAAATCGAGCAAAATAGAATGTGAAGAATCCCTTTGTTTTTCTCCATCGTCAAACAGCAAAGCTGAATGATGGAGATGTCGGCGCCATTGTGTTAAATTCCACAACGTGATAAGACCAAAAATAGACGACATCGGTGAGCTCGAGTGTCATTTTGAGAACAAAAACAACTCACGTCGCTTTCTTTCAGATTTCATTGACCCTCGAAACGTTATTCTTACTATTTCAAATACAGAGAAAGAACGGAAGAAAAAAGACTAGAAAGTCTCGAAAACACAAACTGAAACACGAACATTTCAGAGCCTGCAGATGGGCCATAACTAATGTTAGTATTGTATTATCGATGGTTGTGTTGTGATTGCGATTGTTTATCTTTGATTAAAGGTAAGATTAATTATTTGCTGTTAAGAACGTACGCATCTGACAGCCCTTTTGTCGTCGGCGTTAACGTTCTGATCTATAGTACT